AGTGGGGGGGGGGGGGGGGGACCCATAAAATCAAGGAAATTAATAAACATCAGGGTCCCAAATTCAAATTTTTGGTTTCAAATCCAACCTTTGGTTCAAAACTCCCTGATTCAACAGATTCTCGACAACCATCTATTAAAGAATCAAATAGCTCAACTTGTGCTTCCTCTGGCGCTGCTCCAACTACACCACCCACCTCTTCTGCAATCAAGGGAATTTGGTTTTGGTTCCCAAACTTCATGACCTGATCAAACAACGAAAAATTTAGCTAACCGAGATTTGCAGGTGCAGAAAGTGTCATGAATACGATACAAGCTGAACCGGTTAGTGACTCTAGAACATTAAAAAAACTCGAGGCTATTAACAAAAACTACCCACAAGATAAATCAGACATCAAAGCACACAAGGATATCCCAAACAAAAAAAAGGTGTATCCTAATTTTAGTATTCTAAAGAATTAAACAAAAAAGTAACTACAACCAGTACCATCCTCAGATATCTCACGATAGATATGCAGAGAGTAAAACTAGATATGAAGAATAGTTTTGACATACTGCACGGTAAAAGCGTTGTGCATCTCTCTTAGGCAGATTTCCGTATGACCAGCCTCTGACTTGAACTGAGGCCCCTTCTAACATTGGAGTTGACAGAGCAGAATATTCAGCTTTCCTGCGCTTCTGGCCTCTCTCCGATTGTTCCAGAGGCTCAGATCCTTTCTTTTTTCTTTTACTAGCCCTATCTGGCTGATTAGGCTCCACATAGCTCTTAGTACTCCTGGCAGCTCGAGGTGCGAGAGCTTCCTGTACAAAGGAACACAAGCTTAGAAATCAATAAAACTAAAACAGAATGAAACAAGAAATATCTGGCAACAGCGACAATAGCCTTAATCAAGATAGAAGTTCTACTTCAGCATGAGCTACAGCATCAGGTTTTATCCACCGACTCCAGAAAGACCCATCGTCTTCCGCACTACAAATATTGGCGACCTGTAAGTGCAGAGGATCAACAGAAGACAAAAAATCACGAATAAACAATGATAAGAATATTAATAAGAACATTGACAAGAAATCCGGTTCGCTCTCTTTCCTTCATCCATTCATTTCACCGAAAACAGAATAAGAAAAAGAAGAGAGGGGCGTGGACGCTTGCCTTAAAAGCATTCAACAATTCATGTCCTGCCTCATCGGCATCTTTCTCCTCCACTTTCTCCGCCCTCTCAAGAATTTCATCAATATCCATACCCAACAGCTGTTTTTTGCTTTCTTCGTCATTTTTTTCCTCTTTGAAAAGTTCCTCTGCTCCAAATCTCAAAATTGCAGAAAGCTCATTCTGCAATTATACAGTGTCAGGCCTCAAATGAGATTAAAACCTTACAAGAAATCCAAAAGACCACGATGACCAATATTGAAAGCGGCCCTTACCTTGTCAAACAAACTTCCTTTTTTAGTTTCTTTCTTCTCCAGCCGACCCTCCGCATTTAACTTTTGAATGACCAGATGATCAAGAACCTAAGATAAACATGGTGAATGAAAAAAGTCACCCATCAGCAGTAGAAAGCACAGCTATTAACCAACGGTTAGCTGCTATCTTGTCTTGTTGCTGAGTAATTTAATTTTCAAACATGTATCACGAAGCATGAAGCACAAATTAAGCAAATGAATGAAAATAGTTCTGCATAAGCTCTACACTCCCCTACGAATCTGTGGTTCAAATTAAAGATGTAATTTCATCACGATAATGATGTGATACTTGGAAATTGATTTTTCCAAATTAAATTCCTGCACATGCATCAGCATGACGACCACATTAAAAATGAAATACCATTTTCCTCTTAGCACGCTCCAATATGTCTTCCTCAACGCTTTTGCTCGTGACAAATCTATAGATGTTAACAACATCTTGTTGCCCAATTCTATGAGCTCGACTCATTGCCTGAAAGAATACAAGATTCACATTCCCTTGTCAGCAAAATGGTATGAAAAGATATGAAATCTAAAGGGAGAAGGGTATTCTAGGAAAACCTGTAGGTCATTCTGTGGGTTCCAATCAGAATCAAATATAATGACTGTATCAGCAGTAGCGAGATTGATGCCCAGCCCACCAGCTCGAGTTGAGAGAAGAAAGCAGAAATCATCACTACCAGGTGCATTGAAATGATCCATTGCTTGCTGACGCAGCTCAGCCTTAGTACTACCATCCAGTCTCTGAAACTGGAACCCTCTTAGCGACAAATATTCTGCCAGTATATCTAGCATTCTTACCATCTGTAATTAATACCATTCAAGCAAAACAAACAACATGAAATGATTAGTTCAATAACTAAAAGCCACGGGAACTTGTTAAAGTAACCATGCAAGAAAACCTTCCAACAAAATGCAAGAGCAGAAACTAAATCTAGATCTAAATCTCTAAAACCTATTGAACTTAGATGTTTTTTCAAGCATCATCTAAGAAACAGAAAGAATCTTATCTCAAACAACTAATCTGGACATTCTTTTAGCACAAAAGAAATATTTCAAAAGATGACCTGTGAGATACGGATTTCTCGTGACCGGGAATGAGGAACTCATGTTATTAGAACATGAACACACGTAGGAAGGAAAGGAATAACAAAAAATATTGAAATATCCAAGTACAGAAGCAAATACGTCATAAATCACAAAATTAAAGCTAAAGTCGATGAATCACACCTGTGAAAAAATAAGAACACGGTGTTTAGTCTCACGCAATTTGACAAGTAGCTTGTCTAGAATAACTAGCTTCCCGCTGCTTAATATTATTCTCTCCAGTTTAGTGCCATCATTTATGTCCCCACCATACCCATGGTCTGCACTTTCAAATAGAAAAGGATGATTGCAGCACTTCTTCAACTCCACCACGATGTTTAAAAGTGAAACCTGTTGATTTTAGCCGACGTCGTGTTAGATTTACATTTGAAATAATAAATGTAAAATAAATAACAAAATTTCTAGAAGCAATAACTAAAAGTATATTAAAAAGCATTTGTGATTTAACTCTAAAAGCTTAGCAATATTAAGAGAATATAGCTTACCATAACCATCGGCGAAAATAAATCTGAGAAATTGGGATCATATATATTCCAAGACTAACCTGGTTGCCACGAACTCCTTTATTCAAATCATGGAAGTTTCTTTCTAGTATCCACTTATAGTACCTAAAACGAGAAAAATTGGAGGAAACTAATTAAAAAAACTAAAACAATAGAGCATGCCAACAGGCCTTGGCCTGAAAATAATGCTTACTGCTTCTGTAGAGGAGACATCTCAACCCTTAGGATGCGCTCAATTTTTGGGGGCAAAGACTTCTCAACATCCTTGATCACTCGTCGGAGAATATGTGGCCTCAATTCCTTATGGAGATTGGCAAGCTGAACATAAAAGAAATATATAAGCTAGTGGATGAACGTATTTAGTAAAGGACAACATACAATCTAAATGGTCAAAACTTGCCTCATTCTCGTTAAATGAGCTAAGGTTCTTATAGTTTTGAACAAACTCATCCTTATTCTTAAACTTGTCAGGATCAAGGAAGTGGAGCAGAGCCCTGCAAAAAGAGAGATAAGCAGGTGAATTATACACCAAGAGTAGGAAAAAAAAAGAATAAAAAACATATGCAACAAGGCCCACAAATGCGACATACGGCTTCCACAAACCAACATTGCCAAATAACTCAAGGACCTAGCATTGCCAGAGAAAACAAATAAAGGAGCTTTTAACAGTTTAATGCTTTATAACTGCCACTAACAAAAATTTCTTCAGCACATCAACCAAGACTAGTGTTTTTCCATCAAAACATTGAAAGAGTTGTGTTACACCAATTACCAGAAGACCTGATACATCAAAATTAGCAACAGATTTAAGACACAAGTAACTGACAAATCATTATAAGCATCAATAATGCCAGTAGAAATACATCCATAGGTATCATCAACGCCATCATTATTGGTATTATTCATTTGATCAGCACTATCAAAGCCATTAACTAGATTAAAAATGGGAATCCCCAACCGTCTAACATGAGTGTAAGAAAAAAGAATAGTATCAAATGACGAAGAAATTTCAGGATAATTGAACCCAAAAAAATAGTTAACGGATTTGGCCCCTCCAGAGGAAAGCTAAAAAAGAGAGAAAAGAAGTACCACAACTCTTCAACACTGTTCTGCAGAGGAGTACCAGTAATAAGCAACTTGTTCTTGGTGCTGAATTCCTGAACAGATAAACATACACCATTTCATTCTGATCAATTGAATTACACAATAACTGACAGATAAAAGTTCTTGGCTCAGTTAGATACCAAAAGGGTTGTATAGAGCTGCGCCTCGCAATTTTTCAATCTATGTGCTTCATCAACCATCAAGTAACACCACTTAATCTTGGAAAGAACAGCTTTGTCCTTCAGAACCACTTCATACGTAGTCAACAAGGCATTGAACTTTATGGGCCTGCCAACCTTCTTATCATTGTAGAATTCGTATTGCTGACAGACCTGAAGCCAGACAGATATAAAAAATTAATGTCTAACAAAGAAAGAAAAAAATAAACAAAAGAGGGGCTAATCAACCAAAGACAACATCGCACTCTACAGGCAAAAATGTGTCTTTTACCGTTGGCACAGTGTTTACGACAAGACCGGCAAGACAAAAGAATCAACAAGTAAAATAATAATAGAAAAACAATAAACAATTAAGCTGCTCCTCATGGTTAAAGTTTACGACAGATGATAGAAAAAGAATAGCCTAACAAAGAGAGAAAACTTCTTTACCATGAGTTAGATAACAAGAATTTGTTAGACAGAAAATTTAAAGCATGTATTTGCAAGGGTGAAAAAGTAAGACCAGTAATCCAATTTGGATTAGACAACTCATATATTTAGCAGGCCAGTAAATTAGATATGTTGATAGGCCATCCAATGGAGATACCGAGGAACCCTTAAAACTAAGCAGATAGAGAATAATACAGCATATCATGTTCAGTTTCTCACCTCTCGACTTGCTCGAGTGCCAACATATACTATTATATTCATATCAGGAAGCCACTTTCTGAATTCTTTAGCCCAATTAGCTAACGTTGACAATGGTACGACAACAAGAAATGGACCTGAAATTTGTTGAGCATTCTGCAAGAAAAAATAAACTGAGTTTCCTTAATATAACTCAAAAGTGAGAAAGCGTTGGGAGGACAACATTTTCAACCCTAGTAAGCTCAAGTACAACCAAAAGAGGGAGAGAAAGAGAGAGAGTCTCACCTGCAAAAAACCAAGCATTGAAACAGACTGAACAGTTTTCCCTAGACCCATTTCGTCGGCTAAAATGACATTAGTATCATTAAGCCAGCTGTGACATGACGTAAAACAAAGCATTACACAAAACAGCAAAGTAAAGCCGAGGCTGCTCATGCACAATTCGCGAGAGGGATGACATCTCTTTCCGTGGATTAAAGAATGTCTCAACTCTCCCAAACGACATCAGTATACCTGTTGACTAGAAAATTCAAGCCCTCGAGCTGATAGTCCCGAAGTTTCCCTCCCCTTAACCACTCGGGCTGTTCTTCAAGCTTTCGCAAACTTGCTACACAAATAAAATGAACAGTGCATAATGGTAACTGTAACTGCAAAATGGTAAAAAGCTTTCCAAAACATGCAGTGATCTTGGATTGGATATAGAAGTTGGGAAGGAAGCAAATTTTGTAACACAAACAAAGCAAATGATTTCATCTCCAATTTATCCCGACATAACAAAGACACGGCAAATGAACAGCATTTGAATTCAGGTGAAGAGCTCTTTTCAAGGACATCATCTATCTTTTCCACTGCACATAACATTTTTCATGCACAGGATGATACCCCTCAGAACCTAACAAGTATAGGATACATTGAGAACCATTTACAATCTATTTTCCAGTAATTGAATTGAAACAAGATTAATTTGGTTCCAGCGAGTATTAACAAAAGCAACATGCAAAAAAACAAGAAAGCATGAAAAACAACAGTTATCTCCAATCAAGCCCAAAAGGGTATGAAGAATGATAAAGATGATAGTATTCAGGGCCATAAATTAAGCAAGTTTTCCTCCTATCTTTAAGTTCACAACAAAAATATCCAGTTTATGTTACACCACTACACGAAAGCCAAATCGGAAGGTGAAATACATACTGAACGACACCCACCCAAATCATTCAAAGGATAAATACATCTTAAGAGACAAACACTTATTAATCTGTTTCCAGCTACGGAGAAAAAGAAAACAGGAATGAACAAAATCAAAGCCAAACAATTCACATAGCACAAACCTTTTCCTTTCTTCCGCTGTTGTTCCACTAACTTCCCTTGCACAGCAATCGCAGCCTCACGGGCCTGATTCAAAGGGGCAGATAAGAGTCCAAAAGTAAGAAAACAAGTTTGATTTCTTAATCGTCCCATGCAAACATGGACACATATACACTCCAATTTAGAGAGAATAGATAAAACAGAAACATAGGAGAGAAAAGAGAGACAAAAATATCAACTAGTGCAGATAACCCACTGCAATGAGTTGAACACTAATATTCTTATAGACTGTAAATAGCATGCTTGAAATCTTTTAACATGTATAATACCAATTTCAATATTCTTGTATCATAGACAAGAATCAAGCAGTTTTTCTAGGACTAGAAGTCATCAGTTATAACCACATAGCCATTGAACCCAAACATTTTATGCATTACAAAACTTGGCGGAAAAGGATATTTGAACAAAGAGATAAAGCAAAATAACTAAATGGCAAATTAAAAGGGAAACTAAGTAGGGGAGAAACTCTACCTTGTACTCATCAATAGCATCTTGGGCAAATGCTATGTCCACGTCTCTCTCCCTAAATCAACATTGAAGAAAACGATAATCAAAGAACTAAAACATATAAAGAATCCTAGTTGTTTGATGTTTTTATAGCATGCTTGTCAATTTATATAACATGCCAACTACAGAAACATAAACACAAAAAAAGGAGAAAGATCCGTTCAAATAGCAAGCAAAGAAGGATCCAACTCCAAGTTTCTTATTACTTTACACAACACCAAAACATAAGTTAAAGATATAAAGGAACAGGATCTAATAAAAGATGAAATGAAGAAAAATTTACCAGGTAGCTTCAGCATATGAAAGCCCTTGCCACTTCACTAAATACTCTGGCACTACATCACCCGAACCATCTTTACTTATTCGATCTGCAACTACTCTTTCTACCTAAATCACACAAACTCATTCAGTTCCACAAGGAACAAAAATACGAGATAAAATCACGAAAGACATGGCAAAAAAGGGAGAAGAAGATGGGGAACCCCAAGAGAACATATTAAAAAGACCAAACCTGACTGTTCTGCTTAATGATATCCAAGTCCATTTCTTTACTCACGTCGTTGACCTCAATCTGAAAGGTTGCCAAATATAGTAAGTATACAAAATTGTGGCTGTTTCTAGTGCTGAGAGCAACCAAATCCAGATGAGTCAAATTTTTGCAAATATACCTGAGACTGTATTTTCACATAAATCTACTTAACATGAACCACCATAGGAATACATAAGTAATATGATAATGCCTTATAATTTTGCATTTTACATGTGACAATCTAACATATAAACAGAACCTATAAAATTTCAAAACAGAAAAAAATATGCAACGGCTGTTCCTTATATTGAAGAAAGCTCATAATTATGTTCCTTGCAGGCGAGTTAAAAACTGTAGCAGGCCCTCAAATATTACCTCCTCGCGTGAGAGAGCCCTCCGGTATCTAATATCTTCCATCACTTTCTTTGTGTAATTGAGAACCTTCTTGAAGCCACTAAGCTGCAAAACATGATGAACAAGACAACTAGCCGTTAGAAAAGGATATCACAAATGTATGACTTCACCTGAATGCTTACAAGAGCGGAAGAAAGCACGAGCAAGCGAGAAACACACATGCATATATACATCCACACATATTTGTATATAAATATGCACTCATATACACACACAAAGATCAGCAGAAAAATATGCAAGTAAATTGTAAGGAGACCTCAGAGCATACATTTTGGAGATCAGCCAATGATTTCCACTGGCAATGCAAATGGGATTGGCCTTTCCATTTTATTAAAAACTCAATCTCATTCCAATGTGGTTCAGACTCGAACAGTTGGCTCATCAGAACAGGTTCTGTTGATTTGTCATTGATTCGGGCCTCTTCAGCCATGCCCTTCGGCTGATGCCACAGCACCTTTTCAATGGCGTCCCCATCTTCCTCTTCAATCTCATCCTAAAACAAAATAATTCAGAAAAAAAATAATAGAACAGGAAAATCTTATGATAGTTCGGATTTATCTAAAAAAATGTTGCAATTATCAAGAAATAAGCACTCTTTCTCCCATTGAGAAACAATCACAACTGCTCTAGGTAAACCAGTTGGAATTGACCCAGAAACAAAAGCACAAGCAAGACACAGAATTTTGGCCCTTTGTTCATCATCTGGTAGTAGCCCATCAAGAAGGATAACATGCATAGTGAAGTAACATTTACATTGTTTCTGAGACAAATATAGATTATACCTTAAGCAGAAAACAGCTACAACTAGATAGTAGACAATGCAATTAAAGGCCCATGATATAATTTCATCTATCAACTAACCCATTCAATTTCCAAGACTCTCACGTGGAAACATAAATTATTAAAGGAGAGACCACACATAACCTTGACAACACAGCAAGTATATTCTACCTTTTGGGTCTTTTTCTTCTTCCCACCATCTTCATCTTCGCTGTCCTCACTCTCCACATAAGATACTTTACGAACTGATCTGGTTGAGGTGCGGACTTCACTACTGTGTCCTAAATTGCCTGTGGACCTTCCATTGGCTTTTCGTAGAACTGTGCCTCTTCTGGTAATACTTTTAAAATCCTCATCACTATTGTCATCAAAGTCCTCTGCTGAGTAGTCCTCTTCATATAGTGGTTTCTTCTTTTGCCGACTAGGAGCTTGAGACGATTTTTGTTCACGACCAGAACTTAATCTACGAGAGCCTTTCGTTTGCTGTCTAATCTTAGATTTATTCGTATCATAATAATCGTCCTCATCTGAGACATCGACATCTTCATCGCTCTCATCATCTTCGCCGGAACCTTCCCAATCTTGGTCTTGCTGTACGAAAAAATACGCTCGGATAAAATGAAATCTCAGTAGCCAGGAAATAGCGAACTATAAACCAGAATACAATAGATTAATTACCATGAAGTTGCCCCCATAGAAACATGCTTATTGTAAAAAAAACTCAGACACCATTTCTCCATTTGTTTTTAGTTTCAGTGATACAAAACGTTACATGACAAATATATAATCTAGCAATCAGAAATCCAAAAATTCTGACCTTTTTCTTTGCGATAGCACCTGGTACAGTATCATCAGGCTCAAAGTCAGCATCCTCAGGGTCATCCTCTGTTCAGAAATAAGATAACATCATTACTAAAGCCCTAAAAAAAGGACCAAATGGGGCAAGGTTCAACTGTTATATACTAGCAAACAGTACACTGACATATAATTACCATCTTCCTCCTCTTCGTAATCGGCATCTGCATCATCATTGTTGCCAAAGTCATCATCGTCATCATCATTAATGTTTCTGTGTACAGCCCTTGAGGCCCTTGACTTGCTATTATTAGCGGCTGCTGGCTTCAGCAGTGATCTAGAATTCATAGGGTGGTTGTAGCCTTTGTAGTGCACAGGATCGCTTTGATGTTCTTCATCTTGTTCGTAATATTCATCAGACAGCATCTCATCAGCTGGAACATCAGTTTGACCCCTCTGATGCTTGTCCACTACTTTGTGCTCCTCATTTTCAGATTCTAATCTATCATTCAATTCGTTTGAGAGATTATCTTCAGAATGGTCAACATCTTTGTAATCAGATTGTGAATCGTGGCCAGAATCAGAGCCACCTCTCTGTCCCATAGGCTGGCAGTCCTTCCAAAATGTTGAACCCCATTTTCCAGATACACCCGTTCTTCTTCCTGAGGCTTGAAAACTAGGATCCGCATAACCAACAACATTATCAGATGTTGCGCCATTTTGCAACCTATCACTACACTCTGGTTCTGCATCACTTTGATACTGCACATCCATGTTTATGTCAAAACCCCTATCACTGTAAGTACCATCTACATCTTCATTCACAGCTGACCTCTGAAATGTAGCAGCATTCTCCTGTTCCTCTTTGTCATCAAGAACACTACGTGAAACAGCATCATTTGAGTAGTTCCTAAAGAAAGCCATCTTCTCACATGAAGCGAGCAACTTATCTAAGTACTAGAGCTCCAACTCAATAAGTTTGTTCGTCAATGCCAACTGATATCTTCTCCACTGGTCTCTCAATACGACTAAGAAAACACGGAAATAAAAAGGAAATAGGTGTTAGGTGAATGGAAATTTTTACCATTTTGATATGCAGAATAGGAACACGAATACGAGCAAAGAAAGGATATCCAGATAGTTAGCAGTGTCTAAGTTCTTTCAAATCCCACGAAATACAAATCAAAAGTCAACAATTAAAGTGAAACTTTAAACTAGTATAATTTGCCAACGGAAGAAGAAGAGAAGGAAAAGAGAATTAAGCGGGAAATATAATCACATGCATCATTTGAAGCAAATAAAGAAAAGTCTCAAACCCAATGACACATTGAAGCATCTGAAATCCTAATCTTCATCAATGGTATACAAAAACACCAGTTCGAGTGAAGCTACAATTCAAATTACTACATTAGCTGCCACTCTCCTCTTCACTCGAGAGACCCGCAACACTAAACAGAATCAACAGAAACGCGATGTTCGGCAACCAGAGAGCCACGAGAATGAAAAGCATTGATTGAAAGGGTTGAAAAAGGAAAGACACAGATCTATGACGCAAAACACGACTGAATTCGAATCGGTCCCTAAAGCCCTCTAAATCTCAACGTGTCGAACCCTAAATCGCATAAGCAGCCCTTGAAACACAATCAGGAATCCCAATTAGGGAAAATTCAGTGCTGAAAAGGATGTATCAGCCAGACGCAAAGAGCAAGAGTTTCGTGGGAAAAGCTAATCTATACAGTCGCAAAAAGAGGATAACTCCGGCTAAATCGAATTAGGTTTCGCAAACAACGGCACAGGTAGCGTCAGGATTCAGATTTGAACACACCTCCTGGAATCTCTCCAGATAATCTATCTCCGACGCCGGGAAAACAGAAACCGGTACGTGTCTGTTCGTTTCTCTTGTTTTTTGTTTCCGCTCTCACGTTTCGGAGATTTTCCGAGTCGAATCCGATTCCGGACTCAAAATTCGGGAGATGGCGGGGAGAAATTCGTCGGAAGACGAGATTAACAAGGTTTTGAAGACGACGACTCGACCCGAATTTGGATGAATCGTCGGCTGCGAGACCCGGAAAGGGAGAGAGAGAGAGATTCTAGTGAGAGAAAGAAAGGGTATATTTTCTAGAGAGAGAATAGGATTATGAATGGAGAAAACATAATAAATTTGCTTATTGGGGGTGATTCAATTTTTATTTTGTGAAACGTGTTTGTAGATAAAAAAAACTCTCTCTAATAATCTTTTTATTTATTTATGTTTCTAATTTATTTATTTATTTGCATTTGGGAGTAACTTTGAGGGAATGACCTCTGCCTCTGGGCTTAAAAAGTTTTGGGTTTGTAATTATATTTAGGATCCGTATATGTATAAGATATATGTGTTATTTTTTAAAATATTGATATGTTCATATGTATACATATAAAAATTCCAAACTCTATAATATTAAACTTAATCACAAGATCAACATAATAACAATAATATATAATTTGGATTGTTTGTTCTGATTAAATATGTGTAAATAGTACACGAGCAGGTTAAGCAACATATCAAAACATGCTGCAAATTTTAAAAACGAAGTACGTATGATTTCTTGAATAATTGTAAAATGACACAAATGTTATTCTAGAGCTAAACTAAATTAAAAGAAAATTATAAAAACAAGCTCATTAATTTTGCAGGTAATATACATTTACTTTCCAAACAATTTTCAAGAAAAAGAATAATTTCCGCCGTAGGAGCAATTGGACTGCCAAACATGTTCAAATATTATTGGACCAAATTAATACTAATATATTAATTGTATTCAACTTGCAAATATAATTAGGAATATTTAAAAGTATAATAGGCTCACTCATAAACGTTACTGAATTCTAATATCTTTTCATTAAAATTCGGCGTGACTAATCGAAAATATAAGGTGTTCTTAGAGATTGAATTGATATGTTAAAAACAATTGATTTTACCAAAAAAAAAAATGTAAAAAATAATTGATATATAAGAGAGTTGGTATCTTTCCGTATGGAGATATTGGTGTATCATAGCCGTGGTGTGATTTAATATTTATTTTGTCTGGGATGATGGGTTTTGAGGTGTTTTACACTAAATATTAATAGAAATAAGACTATAGAGATTTTTTTTATTGTTTTTATATGTTTGATAAAAAAAACTAAATATTATTTAAAAAAAATCATACACCGGCATATTTCGAGTGTGTATAAAATACGCTCTAATATATAAATAAGGATTAAGACTCCGAACTAACTTTTGTGGAGTTAGGGTCAGTGTTTATGTCATTTGATATTACAGCCTAAAATAAACTTCCACTCTTGAACTATCGTGGTGGAGTCAGAATTAACACTCACGTATCGCAATTTGTATACGTGTATTTGCGGATGTATCTTCCTTCATGTTCAGCAGCAGTGGAATGGTCTGAATTTTTTTACGGAAAAAATTTTATACCTGCTCGCAAGGGTCACTACTCACGACCGTTGTCAAGGCCGTTTGGGTTTAAGTTCGAATTTCACAAGAAGAATATTAATATGGCAAAGCATAAAGAACCTTTTGGTGCTGAGACATATGAAGCTCGAGTTTAAGCTGCACAAACCTTGAACTGCAGACAGTCAACGTAATAGAACTGCCTTTCGTCTAAAACCATACCTTAAGAATTTTTCAGGGCCGATAACGCATCCTTAGTTGTAGCCGAGATGACAGCATCCGAAGCATTTGGCAAGTAATAATATTTTCCTGCCAAAGCCAAAAAGATAAAAGAACGGCAACACATTGCAATGTGATTCTATCTTGCAGAGTTTGAACATGTTGTCTGAAAGCAAAGAAGCGCAAACCTTGTGCAACTCTTGCGATCTCCTTGGCGAAACCCGTAGAGACAAACTTGTTCTCGGTGTCTATGACTAGAAGAGACATTCCCGCTTTGTATATCTTCCCAGCCACTTCTAGAATCTCGTCCTATAAAGCGGAATCTCGTTCTTGTTATGACAAGAATAATCTAGTTATAAGCAAATAAGAGACTGCTTTTTAATATAAACATTATCCTGAGACATTAAAGCTCAACCTTCAACTCTTGGGACGACGGTCTAGGAGCATCTGAAGTAGCAGCAGCTTCGGGATCAGTGGATCTTTTCAGTGAGATGTTAGCTCGACCATCTGTTATTGCCACTATCATGATCCGCCCGACATCACCGCTCTTAGCATTGATTGAAAGGGTTGAAAAAGGAAAGACACAGATCTATGACGCAAAACACGACTGAATTCGAATCGGTCCCTAAAGCCCTCTAAATCTCAACGTGTCGAACCCTAAATCGCATAAGCAGCCCTTGAAACACAATCAGGAATCCCAATTAGGGAAAATCAGGTGTCAGTGAGGGGCAACATTTTGTGGTACAACCTCATCAATTAAACAAACTATCTCAATCGTTAGGATGATCCCCCGCTCTTCTCTGCGTTTAGTCCAACTCTGACTGCCTAAAATGAATTTTCGTTCAACCAGATTATTACAGTAATATCATGACATAACTACATAATTTTATCTATGACATGATAGAAAATATTGACAGTACATGAAAGCCTTAACAGGCCAACTTACCGTGGTTAAACCATGGGCAAGAGGAGAACCACCGCCACATGGAAGTCTCTCAAGACGCTTTCTTGCCATTGATATAGATCTGGATGGAGGCAGAAGCACCTCTGCAGCATCTCCACGGAAAGGAATAATAGCAACCTATACCAAATCACAGGAATATTATTGCAGGAGCAACAATTTTTTTCTTCTTTTTTATTTTTCTTTTTGGTACCCTGCGAGGACAGTTTTTATATTAAATGTATGCAAAAACTAGAAATATTTTCCTGAACGTAGCCCATGGTAACAGATTCCTCAACGCAAGATGATGTCCTGGACAAACCGAATAAGAGAGTTTTCTCACCTGATCCCTGCTTGTATAACTCTCTGCGAGCAGTTTGAGTGCAGCACCTTTAGCGTTTTGCATACGGTTCAGCGCCATGCTGCCACTTGCATCAACTACGAAAATGACCTGCCGTGCAACAGTGGTAAGGAAACTAATATAACTAAAACCTATTTGCATTACTAAAACCTATTTATAAAAGCATGAACAGGCCAACAAACTCATCCTCCGTTAACAAATTGTATATATGAATTAAGGCCTTTTCAAAGTAGCTTAAGGTTTCAATCACTTTGGCTTAGCAAATATGCAGCTTAATTACTGGATTAAGCAACTCCAGTCATAACTTATATCAACTTGCAATCCTAATCTCCTGACGATATCTTAACTGGTAATGTAACAGAAGATTTGTGACCACAAAAAGATTTTCAGGCATCATTTATAGGCTCTGGCTCTTTTTTCTGTCTTCTATTAAAATTGACAGGCATATATACTTGTATTATCGCGGGAAAATCTTGCTTATTTTTGTAATACCTACGTTGGAATTGAAACACCCATCCAGAGAATGCGAGAGACAATGTTACATACCAGGGCTCCAGCTTTCCTTGCCATTCTTTTGGCCCTCATATCTGTTTTCTCGACAAAAACTTTTCTACTCCTTGAAGTATCCTTCTCTTTACGCAATTTCTGGTACGGCGCAGCTGCTCTCAGGGTCGCATCCACAGCTAATCTTTTAACAGGACCCTGTCCAAGTATAAATTATATGATGTGAAGGTGTCCAAACAGTCAAGTAGACCTTTGATTAACCTTTAATACCATTGCAGATATCCTTTATTTTGGAAAGGAAAAATATTACATATTGGAAAACATTATAAGAAATGTGCTTAAGCTGCAACACTAGTTTAGGGCTTTTTCAGGTCAAACGAAGTTGAGGGTGATATCAAGGGAAAACCTTTGGAAGCATTGGCTTGATGTATCGTCCTCTGTCTTCTGAGAATATGACATTCTTTGCTCTCCCAGCTCTCCCCTTACGTCTCTGTGCTTGTTGAGCAAAGAAGAGGAGTTTCTCATCCACCAGACCACCCTCAGCATCAAATATAAATTCTTCAGGTATTTGGTCCTGTTGCTGCTCATTTTCTTCATTGCTTTCATCCTAGATTAAGGAAGGGTTTGCAAGCTTAAATAACACTTTTCCTATTATGAGTTAGAATTAACAATAGACATCGAAGTTCACTGACCTCTTCTTGGTCCTCTTCTTCCTCATTTTGCTCCTCTCCAGAATCCTGATTTTGTGGAGGGGGTGGAGGAGGTGGCTGTTGGTTTTGTTGTTCAGGTGGATTCTCATTTACTACTGAACGAGGAAGAATTACCAATTCAACCTGTTGAAGAAAGTACAATAAATTTCTAGTCATCATCTTAAGACATGCAAAAGAAAAAAAAGGTGATGAATATGAATCTGATAATATAAGCAAAAAAAATCGCTGAAGGCAACCCAAAGAGAAATGGATATCAAAAAAGGATGCAAGAGTAGTACGTCCCTCTCTTTTCTCCATTCACTAAAAAGGTTAGACCAGGTTTGTAGCAAAAGTAAAAAGATGAACTATTTAGAGGAAAGCTACCTCATATATGCTCACTGAGAAGCAGGCAAAAGTTTTAAAAATGGATAAGAGCAAAGTTAAGAAGATCAAACTCTAATGTCTAACAACTAATTAGGGCGAGAAATATTTCAGCAGG